CACCGGGCGAGGGACACCCCGTGGGCGGGCAGCGCCAGCGGGACACGCCAGGGCAGAGCACTGGGGATACCCGGGGACACTGTGCTATGGACACCCCAGGGCACCGCATTAGGGACACCCCGGTGGCACCGGACGAGGGGGCACCCCAGTGGCACTGCGCGAGGGACACCCCGGGGGTGTTGCATGAGGGACACCCCGGTGGCACTGCGCGAGGGACACCCCAGAGGACTGCGGGGGGGGCATTTCTGGTGGCAATGCCCCAGTGGAGCTGGGCTGGGGGGAACATGCCATGTCTGGCCCTGCACTTGGGGACTGCCTGTGCTGGCAGTGCGCTGCTACTGTGCCCCGGGGACACCACCAGCCATCCACCCCCAGCGCTTGAGACCTGCCTCTGGTCCAGCCAGAGCTGTCCCCGCGCTGGAGGACATCACACGGCTTGCGCTGGCACTGCCCTAGGCACACCCTATCCCCTGTCACTGCACCCTGGGGCCTGAGGGACCCTGCTTGCTGGCGCTGGCTTGGGGGCACCTCAGGGGTGCAGCACTTGGGGACACCCATGAGCTGTCACTGAAGTCTTGGGGACACTCTCAAGCTATGATTGCACCCAGGGATGCCCATGGGCTGTGGTTGCAGCTGCGGACACTCATAAGCTGTGGTTGCAATCAGGGACATCACAGGCTGGCACTGCAGAGACACCCACAGGCTGTGATTACACTCAGGGACACCTGTGGGCTGTGACTGCAGTTGAGGACAACCATGGGCTGTGGTTGCACCTGGGGACACTGTGGGCTGGCACTGTCCACATGGGGAAAATTCCGCAGGAGAGAAGCGAGCTGAGTCCCTGACCTCCCCATCCAGCTCCTGCGCCACAGCGGGGCAGGAGGGCCCCAGTTCGGTGCAGGCTCCCTGGCACCCACCTCCCTGCTGTCTTGCACCCTGGTGTCCCAGTCCCCAGCTCCCATGGGGACACTCAGCACGTGCACAGCCCAGAGGGTGGCATTTCAGGGCGACATGGGGTGCGTGGGCAGCCTGCCGCCCTTCTCTGTCTTTCTGCTCTAAATAAACTGTATTCCACAGGCAAAAAAATGCAAACCCTTCAGATCCTGGCTCCTCCAAAAATAACCCGCGCTTTAATAACGCTCGTAAATGCTTCTGGCGCATTCCCAGCTGCAGGGTGGGCTCCAGGCCCGGGGGGGCTGGAAGGAGCCAGTGGAGGGGCCATGGGAGCTGTGTGGCACATGGGGAGGCTGGGATGGGACGGGGACAGGAGGGGTGTGCGGGCTCCCCCAGCCCATTGCCCTGGGGCCACATCCAGCCCCTTGCCTGCCGCGACTTTTTGGCACTGGTGCTCCAAATAGAGAGAAGTAAAAAGTTTTTGAAAGCTGGAGAAAGTGGCTTTCTAGGAGCCGTGGGGAAAGCAGCAGAAGAGCTGCTGCTGGACTCCGGAGAGCAGCTATTAATACTGACGAATTAGGCACATATTTGGACAGGAGAGTCAGTAACTGCCAGCGCACGGCTTCTGAGGGGAGGGGGAATATCCGTCTCCCGTCATTCCCGGGTGAGGATGGATGGTTTGCTGCAAGATGCTTTGGCCCAGAGCAACTTCATGGGCGAGGTGCACGGGGGAAAGGCGATGATGTGCACGGTGTGAGCGGCCAGGCAGTTGGCCTGGAGCCAGGAGGGCTTCAGGGAGAGTCAGTAACTGCCAGCGCACGGCTTCTGAGGGGAGGGGGAATATCCGTCTCCCGTCATTCCCGGGTGAGGATGGATGGTTTGCTGCAAGATGCTTTGGCCCAGAGCAACTTCATGGGCGAGGTGCACGGGGGAAAGGCGATGATGTGCACGGTGTGAGCGGCCAGGCAGTTGGCCTGGAGCCAGGCAGGGCTTCAGACCTCAGGTGTCCCCCTCCAAAGCGTGCAGTCTTCCCTCACTGCCCGCTCCCCTTTGCTGCAGGCATCATGGCCAGCACCAGCCAGCACAGACGGGGCCATCCAGGTGCCCAGGCCCACGAGCCTGCCCTCAGGGCTGTCCTCTGGGGTGACCTCTGAGACAAAGGGGTGCAGAGGCCTGGGGGTGCGCATCCCTCCCATTGCTGCCCCATGCCCAGCCCTGCCCTGGGCTAAGGTCTTCAAGGATGGGGAGCCCCGTCCCTGCCTCACTCCAGGGTCCCACGCGCCTCCCCATTTCCTGGAGAAATGCTTGTCCTGCTGTTCAACGGGAACTTCCCAAGTGCAACCTGTGCCACAGCCTGTCCCCCTATCCCTGGGCTGCCTGAGAATTTGGGCTGTGGCTTCCCTGCTGGCCTCCAGCTTGGCTGCATTTGGGTCCCCATGGAGGTGCTGGTGCCTCATGGCTGTGGTGTCTGTGGTCCAAGCCCCTGTGTGTGCTCGCCCAAACCACCCTGCCGAATAACCCCTCACTCCAGTGGCGG